TGAGGGGTTGAAATCTTAGGCGGGTTGAGAAATGGGCTGAAAGTGTAGGGGGGCTATAGGATGTGAGGTGTGGGATTAGCCTATGCTTGCTCAGCGTGCTGCATTTCAACAGGTCTTGTTTTACTCGGCGAGGAAATGAGCGACTTGTAATGTCCATATGGCCTAAACAAAAACTTTAAACTTCAAACATTGTAACGGCCTGGCACCAAGGATGTCGGCATTCAACTTTTTAGGCTCATGGTCAAGTGATCATTAATGTCAGATGCACAGGACTGTCAAGTGGGAGTTGGAGGTGGACTTGTTTGAAAGGATTGGCCTGTGATTTGTTTCGGAAGATTCTCAGCAGCGAAGCCAAGCCAAGTCAAAACGAGGACTGCGTCAAGACCAAAGCCAAGCCAAAGCCCTACATTTGCAAAACAATTATATCAGCTCCACAAAATCCTATGGGCTTCCTATGCCTTAGCAAGCAACGCAAACCATACAAAGTAGCATCCGAACCTACCACAGCATCCTGATTGGAACGATTGCGTGAGATTCTGAACCGATAACATTACAAGTCCAAGGTGCAGGGGAATTGGCAAGTGCAGTGGGTGTCAGAAGCCTATTTCAATCTGTTCGACATGAGAAGTTTTTCGCAGGGGTATTAAGATACCCTGTATGTTGTGTAGGTAGGGCACCAGCATCCACAGAGTGCCGGAGTCTCAAGCCAGCCGTCCCCCTTTGAAAATTTCGGAAGTCCTTCTTATCCAAGCTGCCAGGTGTATACATCCTAAAGATGTGCAATTTTCCACGTGCAGCCACTTACAGGGGATATGTAGACGCGTGTTTGGTAAGCCATATAATATTGGCATGGCACCCGTTCTCAAGAACCGCGAGACTTAGGACTTAAGCCAGGCTTTGGCCAAGAAAGCACTTAGATTTCAAGGAAGGTGTCATGCAAAGACGTGTTTGAAGAAATGGGCTCTGTAGTGGTGTGGATTCAGGATTTAGGGTGTGGAGCGCTACGCTGGGTTTGACGTCATGGGACAGAGGTTGCACGGGTCAGGCCGGAGGTTCAAGGCAGCAGCATACTCCACTAGTTCAAATTTTGCTAGAACTCATGAAATTCATGATTCCTTTTGGCAAGGACAAGAAGAAACATAGTTATACCCTTCAACATGCACGGCCATGTCGTTTACAGTTTAGTTGCCACATGAGTCGCGGCGACTGAAGCGCTTGCTCTAGTATCGGGGTCTTCCCTACTGACCTGAACCTGGAATCCCAAACCCGAAGCTCAGAGCCCTACATTCCCGAAATACAGCCACGCGGACAAAGAAAGAACCAAGACTAGCCAGTCCTAGCTGGAGAAGAGGAAGCCCTACGCCAAATCTTGCAGGAGGCTGAAAAGCTCCGCCGTGAGGCTGATGCAAAGAAAGTTTCCGAGGAGCCTTTCAGTGGGCTTCGTAATCTAGACCTAGCGTGAGCTGGGGCTGGGTGACATACCCATCTTGCTGGGGTTGATTCTTGAGGGATGGGACATTCTCATCCATGTGCCGCTTTGATCTTTGTAGGCACTTTTTGCAAACAATTAAGAGCTTCAGGTTCCAAGGCTTTATGGGTACAAAGATCCGGGTTTCGGGCTTTTGGGGCTTGTAGGGCATTTGTTTGTAAGGCCAATATAGGGTTTAGGGCCTACGGGCTTTAGGAGTGTAGGGGTTTGGGCCATGTGCATCTATTTTTTTGGTGTTGGGGCGCGTCTTCAAAACTACCGTTTTGGCACTGGGCATTGATGCCCTGGCAAGGAGAGAGTTTGCTCTTGGAGGGATCTGTCAACGAGTTCTAACAGTTTGTCATCTGGAGCATGGTCTGGAATCGAAACCATTCCATCTTGTTTGCCAGAGGCTCACGTGGTAACGGTCTCTAGTACAGCTCGACCTGAATTATGAGGAATAGTAGGGGGTAGATGCGCCGTAAATCCTGAGTTCCAAGCCATCTGCTTCTCAGGTTGGCTTGAGCTCATCAATTACAAGGATCGGTACCGTATTATGTGGATATGATCCGCTAGGACTGGCCTCCTTCAAAGTACCTTGACCCCAGGACACGCATGCGTCTGCGGTGCCACACGTTTCATCGTCCAGGGTCTAAGTCTAGCCCTGATCTTGCGTGGTGTAGATTCAGGGTTGAGGGTGTCCACGATGTTTGGGGTTTAACTCTGCAAGGTTCAGACATCACAATTGAGACGCAGTGAGCTCAGTCAGCTAAGTGCTCCTCGACGATTCATTGGTTGAGCCATGGGCATGGAACCCTGAGCGCTGGGTCCTGGCAACAAGCGCCGAAATACAGCCACTACAACCCCCGCCTCTGAACCCACAACGGATTCTTCTCCTTCCAAAGACGCGGGATCTTCTGAAATGATTTTTCCCTGTTCCTCTTGTAGTCGGAGCGTGCAGGGTCTGTACTCAACTAAATGAGGCGCTGTGGCACATGGCTTCACGACACCAAACCGTTGCCTACCTGAGTGTGGAACCTTAAATGTTCGGATGGCTTGTTCTTTCAGCATGCTCTACGAGCAACCATGAGTTGCGTCGCGGACTTGGGCTTGGAGCCCAGAGACACAGGCCATCCTGACACAAAGCATCTCAACGGCCAACACCTGGAAAGGACCCTTCAGCATCCTCATATTCAGTCAAAAGATTATTGACTGGTATGTAAATGAAGGGGAGGTGATGCTCAACAATGAGTGAGACGGATTGTTGTGCTGTCCTGTCACAGGAGCAAGAGCTTCAGAAAAAGCGATCAGAGGCCCAGGGGAAATGTCTTTGTATTTTGGTTCAAGGGCCTCGGGCAGCACGAAACCCCAAACGAAATGCCTGCAATCTCAAAGAGCCTGAACTCCCTTCAGTAAGAACCAACCCCTTCAATCCTTTACCTTTTGGCCCTAAGCAGCTCCTGAGTCACCACACTGGGTCCCTCAGAGTAGGTTTCGGGTTGGGTTCAGTTGAGGGCACAGCAGTTTGAGGGTTTTGAATTTTGACCCTGCAGGTGAACGACTGGCTGAAGAAGCAGGGATTCAAAGACATCACCGTCCCAAAGAAGACCCGCCGCTCATTCCAGCGCTTCAATGGGTCCGTGATCAGCTGGGACAGTTCAGGGATAAGGCAAGGGTTCTGCATCATACCTAGACCCGTACCTGAGCTGGGCTGGGACGGTTCCGAGGGGTGGTAGATAGCGGTGTAGCGAGCTTGCAGCCTGAGACTTTGTGTGCACTGCCTCCCCAATGAAAACTCTTCGGTTTTCTGCGACCTATTCCTTTCCTTCCCTCAGCTGGATGGCCTTATGTCCCGACGCTGCCTCAGGCTTCTACGCTCAGGTTGTGGAATCAATTGTCTGGAGTTTGGGGTTACTAATCCGTCCCTAGATGCAAAGCAACTGTTTGGGGCCAGTCTAAAAGCCCCCAGACCCATCAAAATTGCAAGATTTCGACTTGAGGTTTAGCTTCAAATCCCTTGGCATGAAGCACGAGGCTCGGACCTTATTCTAGCAGAGGAGGGGGTCAGGGGGGCGCCCTGGTAAATCGAGAGCACGGATTAGGAATCTGGGCGGAGTGCACGGAATCTCTGTTATGGATCCGTCAGAAGGGTTCGCCAACGAGGACCCCGAATGGATGCCAAAAGCAGTCTCACGAGACAGAAATGGTCAGAGGATACCCCCAAAACCATTAGCATGCAAACCAATATGAGGCTGATTGTTGACATGGGGACCTTGTTGGAATCACGAGACTCGAAGTTTGACGAAGACAGGCAAGCCGCCCCAGGAAGCTAATGCTTGAGGTGTTCAGAGGTGATCTAGAGTGGCATACGCTCCTTTTTTAGGTTCTCACCCGTCGAAGGCGCAATTTGGCTCATCACTAGGCTTCATGAATAAACCATGCTTTCCATGTCACTCTTCTCATTTCGAATCTTATCTGGCTTTCCATTGCTCTTTCGATCTTCGCAAAAGCTGTGAATCAATGACACTCTGCAGGGTCCAGCTCTTCTTGTCCTCTCGTTCTTCACTGCGGCTTCCGGGAACTGCAACATGTAGTTCATGTTTTGCTCATGGGGCGGATGTGGTTCACATTAGTCAATATGGAACTTCACAAGGCTGACCGTGTTTCGCGCGCCCAGATTGGAGCATGTCCGCACGCTCCACCCCATCATGTTTCCAGGCAAGAGCTTGGAGCAAGATGACACGAACAGCTCAACCTTAGAGGAGGTGAGCTTTCGACAAGGCCCTAGAGCGGGAATGATTTACCCAAGCTCCATAAAATACATGATGCCTGAACATGAGAGGTAGCGGCGTTTATCCACCTGTTGAGAAGAGGACTGATTACAGGATCGGACGTTCAAAGAACATATTTACTGTCCCAGCCGTCTATTTAGCAGCTTGGTCCCAATAATACCACCAGAAACCCTAACTGATTTTTCCCTTTTTCCCTCTTTTTCCCAAGACGAAACCAGCCGAGGATCCTGCCTGGTGACCAGTGTTCAGTATCCACTGCACAAGGCGGCGGCTGATGGCAATGCTCGCTGCATGACTACAGATAGACCCAAAGCGTGATGAGGATATGAGTGCATTTTAATTTTCAGTGACCAAGGACCTTTTCAAACCCCAAGGTGAAACATCCATACACCCTCAGCTTCGAAGACTTTTAACCCACAGAGAGAATCGCAACTATCCGAAGCCTTCGCCGGAACATCAGCATAAGTGACTTCCTTTAGAAAGCAAAGTTGCACGCCTTTGGGTGTCCACTGGCTTTATGCCAGTCATTGCTGGGCCCTACCTGGGACAGAAAGACTGTCAGTCTAGTCTCGAGGCTCTCTGTGTACCTGGCCCTATACTATAGCCGCAACCTTTGCTATCCAAAATCGATATGGCAGGTCAAGGGAGTGTCATTTTTTGGCGCGCTACACGGTTGTGTTGACATGTCTCAGGACTGGTGCAGCTTCTCTTGGAACTGAATGCCGATCCTAAGCAACCCGGCCTGATCGCAAAACAAGCGATGAGACTATGAGGGACATGTCTCTGGCACTCTTCACACCCTGGATAAGTTCAAGTAGGAACCCAAATCAGCTAGGGCACACACACTTAACATTGACACCTACACCTGCTGACAAAGAGCAGAGCAGTTTAGGCTGACTTTCTGGGTTCCATGTTTGTTTTGGGAATGTACCAGCTGTAAACCCTATGGCCCTGTGAGCTTGTGATGCAGCCTCGACATGCGGTGCTTCAGCATCAGCATTGCGACGTAGAAGTTTGAACTCAGAACTTCCAAAACCACTTCAGCAATGCCGTAAATATCAAGGGTCCATTGGCTTTTGAATGCCCTACATCTTAAGGGCCGTATTATACTGGACACCCATTGGGCAAATCTCCATAACAGTTCTTGATATTCTTCGAGTCTCAAAGAAGAGACAGAGGATTCGGAGCTGAAAACGGGAGTGAAGAGCCGGAGGGGCTATTCCTTGTTGAGTCCTGGTATATAGTGAAAATTGAAAGCTGTTCTAAATATTGCCGTTCTGTTCTTGCGGCACTCAGATAAAAGCACACTTGCCCCTGAACAGAAGATGACGGAACTGAACCAGTGGATTCTAGTTTGGTGATCTTCTCTTCAGGCATGTTGGGATTGATCCCTGTTGCGGTCTGTTTAGGCGGCCAGTTGTTTCCTCAGACCTTCGCTTAGTTCAAGCATCAACTGCTGCGAACACCTTCCATGAGCACCTAATGTCCACATCAAAGCCGCTGGATGTTTGCCTGCTTCATGTTTGCATGCTCCGGAACGGATGTGGCGTGGCACTGAGGGATGAGTATGCCTGCGAAAGCATAAACACACGCTGTCATGCAATGCATCACGTTGTACATTGGGTGCGGCTGCGATCACGCCATTTGGACGTGAAGCTTCCGTCAGGGCAAAGAGACAAGATGACCAAAGACTAATGGAATAGAAGCAGCCGTGTTGGCTCGCCATACGTAGGCAGACTCTCTCGCAAATGGCTGTCATGCGCCTTTGGTCGTTTCTGGCATTGCCGCTTGTAAGCGTCTTGAGTGCGATGCTGGCATTGCACTATCTGGACATGTCTGACCAGGTGACTCAGCCCCAGAAGGACCGCGATGATGCATTGGCAATGGTGATAGAGGCTGCCAAGTTGTCGTCGCGCTCCCTCCAACACAGAGGCATCAGCTACCGCTGCCTTGCAACCGCGACCCAGGCAGAGAATGCGTCCTTCTTCGAGAATGAGGCACGCGACTTTGTTGGAAGAGTCGCATTGATGCAGCACGATGAGGAGAAGCTGTTTGAAGACATGGGGACTGTCCTAAATTACTGTCAATACGGGGTCCTATATTTGGGTTCCTATTATAATACGGGGCCCTATATACATTTCCCCCATTTTGGGAACAGTAATGTAGGGAAACTTCCACATGAGCCCTGAGGACTTAATCCAATCGGATTTATCAGGTACGTTGAGCGCCGCTACTCAGCATGCAACGCAGCCTTGTTGAAGGACAGTCAGCACTCTTCAATGTGCGCGAAGCAGCCTTGCGTCTAGCTGCTTCCCACAACACACACCAGCTGCGATGGTGCACATGGCCTAACCTCATGGCCTGCCTGGCGCTGACTGGGGCGGCTTACTTCCTCGGAACGCTGACATGGAGGCAGCCTGTACGGTGGCCAAAAGAAGTATTTTTACTTCCCTGCAGATGAAGAATTTGAGGTTCTCTGGGGTTGGGCACTCCAGGCAGTCTCACGGTAGTAGTCTCAGGGACCGGGCGAGGAGCAATAGCTGACTTTAAAACCGAACAACCCCACACCGAGGGTGGGGAATTAAACCAAACAGGGACCCTAATTTTGGAAATGGCCCAGGTGGCTGAAGACTGGGTTCCTGTGTTGTGCTTCGGTGCGTTTTTCTCTTTCACGTTACGGTTTAGGATTTAGGCTTTTTAGCATCTAGGGATTAATGTCTAGGATCTGGGAAAATGCCATAGGGTTTAGATTTTCGGGTTGGTATGGGGTTTTTAGGTTTCGGCCCCTCTCAAGGACTCTACAGGGAGCTTTAGGTAGGCAGGACAGGAAGTGTCGATTGTTTAGGGCTTATGGAGGCTGAATATGAACACTTTTTCTCACCAGGTTGTCGCCTTGACAATCACAGAGTTTCTGGTCTTCCCTTTCCTGCGGCTGGAGCTGTACCAGAAGCAGGAGAGCCATGCCTTCTCCCCAGTCATCCATCTTTGCTCATGAGTCTGGGCTTGTGTTGGAGAGAGGGAGAGAGAGTTTCGCAGCCATGCATTTATGTCTCTGCGCGACATGTACATAAATCTGTAGTTGTATATGTTTCTGTACATGTGTATATATGCATGGGTACGTATAGATATTGCCTACATATTTGTATACCTTAGAGTCATAGTTGCATAAGGCTCCCAAGAAAGCACCCAGGAGTGGTGATGATCGAAGACCGTTCCTGTACTTTTTGTCTCGCCTCCGGCAGCGACACGTCTTCATTAAGAAAGTGAACCTGGGCAATCTCCAATTGTCTTGGTTCCTTGGGGGGCGGCTGAGGTCTCACTACCTTTTTTTGTGGTGGAGAGGGGTTGGTTGGACTTCCCGCCATCAGGGCCTGGAACATCTTTGGCACGTAGTGGCTTCAAGAAATTAATATTGCACTGGGACCAGTTTGGGGAAGCTTGATATTTGAATGAAGGAGTGTCAGAATCTCATCCAAAGTGAGAATCTTGAAAAAGGCTCCAATCGGATTCTGGGTATGTTTCGCACCAGAGTCAAGTGGCAGTGCATTTGGGACTGACAAGCAAATGAGGAGTTACTTGGCGGTCCATAACCGCCTTTACACACAAGTACGGAGTTGGTCGGCATGGCTATGTGGGCTCATCGAAAACACTGGTCAACAGGACTACCAGCTACTGAACTGCACTGGAATCATGTGTCAATAGTTTTTGAGAAACTGGATTTTGAAAGGGCGAAGTTAGTTCCATACCCTCAAGCCCATACACAGTGAGAGGTGGAGACGCCTTCGTTGCAAAGTGGTACGTGACTCAATGGCCGGAGCAAATAGCCAGGAAGATTGAGATGGGCAAAGCTGTTCCAGCAAGTGATGTTCAACATAATAGCGCAACTCAACACCACTTGGCCTTCCATGGAGGAGCCAAGTATCTCAACGAACATTGGCAAGTCGACCTCTGTGACGACAACAGAACCGCAGACAAAGCAGTCACAAATGTGAGAGGCATGTTCTTTGCGGAGATTGGTGGGGGGCTGCTTCCAAAGTGAGGCTGGCCAATATCTTGCTTGAGAGCATCAGGAGAAACCACCACAGTTCGTTCTATTCGGGTTTCCAATTCCAGGGCTACATCTTGACCTGTTTTTTGTTTTTTGGGGGCTCACAAGAGCAGACAAGACTGTTCCTTGCATGCGAGATCGGGCTAAGTTTCAGGAATGGGATGGGGATTGTCTCCGAGTTATTGACTTGGGCTCGGGGTTTTCGGGCACGGGTGTCGGGAATCGATTGGCAAGGCGTTGTGAATGGCTAGGGTTTGGGTTAAGGGATTGAGATTCTCTTCCACACTTATTGTATTGGGCTTGGGCCGGAGGTTTTCTTTCACTCGCAAATAATTAATTCGTTCCTTCCAAGATCTTTCGAGTTTGTTGCAGTGAATGATCGGAGCCAGTTCCTTGACGCGAAGCCCGACAATCAATCTCTGGTTAGCCTATAGAAAAGGGACCTGGTAGGTCGATCTACAAGCAACAGTGGTGGTCAGTCGTGAAAGTGGTGGAAGAGCTCCCTTCCACCTAATGTTAAACTTCCCCCGACCCCCTTAATATTGAACATGATCCCTTAGTATATGGGCTACTCTAGCGAGTAATTAGTATTAGGGGACGGGGGTTGTTTAGTAGTAGGGGGAGGTGATTATCTAGGATGCAAGAGCAAGAACTGTCGTCAAAATGTGGCTGCACTTGGCCCAAGGTGTCCGAAAACCCTGAAGGTCTCCAGCTGCGTCTGGACTTTTGTGCGAAGGGCTAGGACTGGAATGGAAGGCTCAAGTGATGAGTTTGGGGATGCAGGTTTGAAACCGCTTACTTGGCAAAGCTGGTGGCAAGTTCAGGGAGCGCTGAGGCTCACGTGGAGTCTGGCCGGTCAAGGACTGATTAATTGAGTAGGCATTGCACCTCCCCATTTAATTTGCGCCATTTAGTAACCGAGTTGTTTCGGGTCGTCCCTTTTGCGGCAACTTAAGGAAGCCCAAGCCCCAAAGCTGCAAGCCTCAACCCAAATCCTTTGAGGCCAAGGACATGCCCTCCCAATTCACTAAACACAAGCACCCGACTGAAGAGCTCCTGAAGCCACCCAGGCTAAAGAATAGCAAAGGGAAGACCGCCTTGGAGGCAAAGGGCTCAGGATGCATCGGGAGTTCGGGATTTCTGTAGCAGTGCTTTTAGGTTAACTTTGGGGAAGAAATGGTCGATACACAAAGGGTTCAGGTAAATGTGCGCGCAGAAGGTGATTTTCAGAAACATTCAGTATATTCGTCTGGTTTGTGGATACATGGACTTGAAAATCATATTTGGAAAGTCCAACCCCTCACTGTTCTTCATTCACCCTGCCCTCGTCCATGATGTCGAAAATCTGACCCACCCACCACAAGCTTCATGCTGCATGGACCAAGGGGCATTCGGACGGTCAAGGGCCTCCATGCGCAGATTTGCTGTATTAGTACCGAAAACTGTCTTGGAAACTTAAGAGCCTCCGGCTCAGTCCGCCGACCCAGAGGCGGACAAATCGCGAAAGCCTAAACCCTAAACCTTGAGGATTTTCAGCGGCTGGCACGAGACCAACAAGCGCAACAAGGTTAGTCCAAGC